GTGGAAAGTGCACTTAGCTTATCCAGCTGGTTTACAGCTTAGACACTCCACTCAAATACTTAGAAACAAATAATTCAAATACATCATAACAGGATTATCATAACAGGATTGAAAACCCCAACTGACAGGAGGCAACCAGTTGGCTATTTACAAGCGTGGCCAAGGATTTGAACTCGAGACGACCGAGAACAAATCCAGCAAGTGGCCAGAGTAGGACTCAAACCCAGGACTGCCAGATTGCAACACCGAGGCGCTGACCACTCAGCCAGGCTGCCTCCTTAAAAAAATTTTATTTTAGGACCAAAACTAATGTTAGTTCCTTGTGACTGGAAGAAAGGTGAACACTTTTTTCCACGTATAATCTTTTGAATTCAGGTAAACACTATTATTATGTTTTGTGACAACAAGTCAGACAGTCTTGCCTACATTTTCAGTATAAATAAATATTATTGACATCTCTCATGTAATCTTATCGGCCTGGCCCCAGTTGTACACAAGGTGGATAACTCACATTTTGGTCATTTCAGCTTTGTTTGTGGGGGCCTTTCTTTGACCTCAATGATTAACCCATATTGCTATAATTCACTATAATTCTATGAAGTTGATGTCACTGGTAAGTAATAACAATGGAATAATTATTTCTCCTTTTTACATCAATAACATGCATCAAAACAGTTGCTCTTAGAGCACTGAGCAGTCATCAAGAGACTATGTTGGTGCCTTGTTTTTGCTGTCCTATGACCCTTTAGCCATAGAAGGAGTACCCTGCCTCCCAGACATAATTTAACCCGGGCTAGTAACATCTGTGAAGGAGCACCGAGATCCTAGTTCTGGGCCCCCAACAGGATCAATGAATTATTGGAAGTGCATCTCAAATTTCCTTTTAAACTGATTGGCAAATAGACAATGGCTTTTTAAACAAGCCAATCATATCACTCACTCAAATCTGTGTACACAGGTGGGGGCCCAAAACGTGGATTGTATCTGCCATTTCACAGATGGACTTAACCAGAGTGTAGTTGTATCTGTGGTGCAGGGAATACCGAAGGGGTTATTACAGCATGCACAAATACAAAGGGGCAGCAGAAAAATAGTTTTGACCCAAACTTTGCCTTGCATCTTTGCTGAGAAATGGGTCTTTATCTCTCTTCAATGAAAGTATTCTACTCTGGTCATTTGACAGTACCAAAACATTATTTTGAGTAAACAGTTGACACAAATCATAAGTCGTCAGTTAGCATCATGATGTTTCGAACAACATCACCATTAAACTTCCATGGAGGGACAAAAAGGTACTAAGTTGTGAAATAGGTGTATTCATGAGTTGTTTTCCAAACAGCGTATACGACGAGTAATAAAATAAACATATAAGCAAAGGACTGTAAAAGAAAAAATGCTGCATGTATACAGTACATAGTATCAGCATCTTTCTGCTTTGTTTGTTTTAAGGGTACCCTGGTATAATCAAATTTAGCCTTAAAAAATGGTGGGGCTGTTTCAGTGAGTAGTATAGAACGCTAGTTATTGAGTCTAATTTGGCTCCCTTAATCAGAGCCAACAGAATCCGGTAATCTCGGAGTAATGCTGTTTTGAACCCATTGTTCTAGCTGCTTGGTTTCCTTCGAAAGGATAAATGCGATAAAATTTTAACTAGGATGCACAACTATAGTAACCTCCCCCCCTCCCTACAGCTTTCTTGGACCTGGAAGTAAAATGCTTGGCACAGTGTCATAATCTATTCCCAGTATAAGTTAGGGTTGGAACTGTATACTGTATACTGTTGTACTCTTTCACCCGCGCAAATTGTAACCTGTAATCTATTTAAGGCGGGTGAGTTTAAGACCATCAATTTTACACGTAACATGAAGAAGTTTACTCTCTAGTAACAGCTTCCTTGGGCCTGGAAGTAAAATACTTGGCCCGGTTTCGTAATTTATTCCCATTAAAAGTTAAAGGTGCAAACTAAGCTGTAATCTGAAGTTTCTTAAAGGGTGAATTTGGGACCATCAATTTGATAAGTAACAGAAGGTCTCTCTTCAGTAACAGCTTCCTTGGGCCTGGAAGTAAAATACTTGGCCTAGTTTCTTAGCTCTCTGTTGTTGTACTCTTTTACCCGTGCAAACTCAGCTGTAACCTGGAGTTTTTTAAGGTTGAATTTAAGGAGCTCACTGTTTCTTGGGCCTGGAAGTGAAATACTAGGCCCAGTTCCAAGATTTTCCCGATGATGTGCCAGGAAGGTGCCATAAATTCCGCAGTTGATGCTGTACAGGTGCCCTCTGATTTTCAGTACTCAATCGTGCAAACTGTAATGCGCTGTTTCAAGATGAATTGGCGCACTTGACGAAACAACTCTTTTCATCGGTTCAAGTAAAGTTCAAGACCATTGTTGGCTATGATTACCCCGTAAATGAATGAACCGTCAGGTAGGTGTTAGCAAACGCTATTGTTGTTTTATATGGGGACATTTGCAAAGGCCGTGGACTATGAGTTATTTGCAGGTTTGAGTGCAGTGCAAGTCTCAAAACTCATATCCTCCGCGATAAAGGATTTCATTTCTCGCGGTTATTTTGCCCTAAACTTCGCTTTTTGTTTCTTTCGAAATGTTTTCGGGTTGATCTTTTTGTCTTGCTATGCTGTATGCCTTGGCCTCTTTGGATGATACTTTCTTTAATAAACATGATAATCTCTGCTGGCAAAGTCCGCCTTATTTTTCATTCTTGGGGTCTTGACTAACGTGGATTTTCAGACATTGCTGTTACCTCTGGTTCTTTCTGCGAGCTATTTCTCCCCGCCGCGGATTAGGGACAGGTTCCTGCCAGAATGCGGTATTTCACGTGAAATATGGAACCTGTACAGGACAAGAGAAGATGTCACTGAATTAATTCTTGTTTATTGTTTTTTCTAATTTATGTCATGAGTCCTTAATGATATAAAACTTGACGATGTTGTGAAGTGTGATTCCAAATAGCATGTGGGACATGCGAAGAAAAACTAGTGGAAAATAGCGGTTTTGTCCGGATGTCGTCAAATTCACCCGGACCGTTACTTAGCTTCCAGTCAATTACAGCAATTTATTAAGTACAACTTGGAGACTTTGTATAATTGTGCTGTTTAAGCTGTATTTATTTTTAGTTTATGTTTCCCTTATGCGCGACCACACTCCCACGACTGCCAGATGTCAAGACAGACATCATAGTACCACCGTCCAAGGGAATGCGGAGCAACCTAGTTAGCGCATAGTCAAAACAACACACGCGAAACCTGTAAATGCTTGTGTGCCGGCTTGAGATTGAGACGCCTCATTGTCTTATAAACAATATGGTAGATCGCCTTTTGTCTTTTTTGAAGGGCAAAAACCCAAAGCCTTTATAAAATGGCCGTGTTTGAAATGAATCTAACCATATACTTTTTGTCATGTAAATAAACGATCAATCTGTATTAACCTAACGGACTAAAATGAAGTAAAGAAAAAAACAGTAGAACGCCGTTTCAAGCATTTTCTTAGAGTATCCTTGTTTGGTGTCCTTGTTTGTTTTAAACAATGAAGTTTTAGGCTCTATTATCAGTTAGCTACGGCTACCAGTTTCGGGTGTTTTTTTTTTTGTACCCTATGAACGCTTGTATTTGACAATTGTCCCCTAAACGGCTGTTTAGATACGCAAAAGTTGCATAGATTCTTTGTTAAAATTCATTTTAAGGCTGTTTTTATCAAACAATTCAGTTATGTCTGTTGCTCATACTTTGGAAATCTTGAAAAGTGAAATAATTTTCTGTCCTTGGGGCAAATTCCATTCATTTCTACTGGGATACCATAACGTGTACAAAGCCTACAAATTTTAATTAACATCCACAAGTTTGTTTATGAAATCACGGTCTGCAAATAACCAGATAAAAAAATGCCACGCTGCATGTTACCGCTAGACAATAGTCTACGGATTAAGTAAAAACAACCGTTCAAATGATATTCCGTGAAAAACGCTGGGTAAAATCGTCAAATGAATTCCATGCCAAAATGAAGTATGGTGCGCTTTGTGTGGTTATATTTAAGTTCTTTTAGCGAAATCAAGAACCATCTAATTGAATTATAATGACTTAAGCCGAGCTGTTTGACTTTAAAAGGAATGAAAGATGTAGATAATAGAGTTTCATTTAAGATGGATTACTTTGCAAAAAATAGATACTGCGTGACTGTCTACAAGATTGCCATTTCCATTTCAAAAGTATGGGCAGTGATAACTGGTACTATTAAAGAGATTATTTCTCAAAACATGAACAAATTTCATTGGAAAAACTCAGACAACCTATATAATATATATATATTAAAAATCCTTGGGTTGACAGATACGCTAGATTGGTTCCGATTGGGATCTTTATTAAGCCTCTAATAAGAGTTTGTGTTTGTTTCAATCTGAGGAGACACTGAATCGTGACATCTCAGACAATAGCTCTATGACTGGCCGTCAATACATTCCTTTTAATTTAAAACATGCCTTTTCTGTCGTAATTGTTCTATACGTGACCGCATTGGATGCAATCGATATTGGTGTGGTCTCAAAGAAATTTTGTAGGATAAAGATGACTTGCAAAAGAAGAGAAATGAGGTTATTTCGCCCGGCCGTTTGCTTAAAGAAGCTCAGTGTGTTTAGGAAATTTATCAAATTGAAACAGTGGAAAAACTGCCACAAAAGTGAGTATAAAACATAAAAAAACTGCTCAAAAAGTTAAAAGGAGGAATACAAATAACACAGCAAATACAAATTTGGGCACAGCCGGAGACCGAACTTGAAGAAGATTGAAACCGGATTGCAGTAGTGTTTTTGAAAACTTCAAACACTGTCTAGCAGCTTTTCAATAAGTTCATTTTGTAGTTTGCAACGTTTGATTTAATGCCTGGGAGGTATATTTGTTGGACAAGAAGCTGTGATTTTGTCGATTACAGGTAATTCCTTCGCTAACGTTAAGTTCCATAGCGCATCATCATCGTGAGTCATCATCATGTCTCATCGCGCCCGTTGGCGCATAAGGCCTCCATGCTGCTCTCTGACCAACACTTTCTGTCTCGTGCAACCGCTTTGACTACCGCCCAGCTCTTCCACTTCGCTTTGTTTCGCTCTTTCTCGACTGTTCTTCTCCAAGTACTTTTTGGTCTGCCTCTTGCCCTCCGACCTTCCGGAGTCCATCCTGATGCTGTAAAGCAGTCGTTCACACCCCAGCCAGTTTTCCATAGCGCATAAAGAAGCGTAATTGGCACTGTTAACAAAACGAGCTAGACAACCGTGACACAGCCCCTTTATAGAATTTTTCTAGAATAATGATGACTTGCAAAAGAAGAGAAATGAGCCGGGGTATTTCACCAGGTTTACTGAAAACTAATAATACTAATGATACCTACTTGAGAAATGAAGCGTATTTTCAATAAAATGTAGCTAAGGTTGTAGTGATGTGACGGAATTTCAAAGTCTTTGGGCTATATCAGACCTAACACTCAGTGGAGAGAAAGTAAAATAAAAACTGTTATTCTTTCCTCCTAAGTAACTAAAGTTTGGGACTTGACTGCTTTATAAATGGTAGGGGTTAGGAAGCGTGTTCAGTTACTACGATGCAACTCAAAACTGAACTAAGAAACCAGTGGTTGAATCCTTTGAGGAGTGAAAACTACAGTTTAAAAAAAGGCTATTTCATAAATTTCCCAAAGAGAAAACTGACTAAGACCCTTAAAATTTATCCTGATAACAAAATCGCCTTTTCAGCACGTCTGGCTGGTAACGATCTCACCTTTAGAGAGAAACTGAAGTTAAGTTGTAAAATTGATTACTAAGCTCTGGCAGTACAACTTTGGTTTAAAAGAACTCCTCGACGTTCGATGACTTCCAGTGTGGTGTGACCAATGTCAACTCTTCAGCGACGCTTTTCTTAGACATCTTATTTTCGGCGACATTATTCAGTTGCAAAACGTAGTTTTCCATTTGATTTATTTCTGCTCGACATGGACTGAGAGGGACTAGCGCTAAACCTAAATGGAAGTTCAAGACTTGAGTGTAGGTTTTCACCTTACTCAATAAAGCTGCAGCTATCTTACAAAGAAGATCCGCGACAAACTACTTCATCGTTGTCGTCCACCTGAGCGTGGTGACATACTTTTACTCTGTGGTCATCCTTTAAATAACAGCTGAAGCTAACTAAAAAGCAAATTTTGTACAGCGCATAAGAGGAGGTCTACAACCATCACTGCATGCTCCCCTTTTGCCTCGCGAGCAGAAGCTTGCTCTAAATTTTGACTTAAGCCAAGCAAACATGTCCCTTTTTAAAAGCCACTGCTAATGCTAGAATTTAACAGTTCCTTCCTGATAATAATGTTAAAAAGTCTATCTGCCAGTTGAATGATTCTACGTGCTTTTCTCGTAATTTGTTGCCATGAAATGAATATATTATAGGCGTTTAAACGGTTCTGAAGGAAAGGACTCCTCAACTCCTTGAGACAGTTGTATGGCAAAAGAAGCAATCCACGGGTAACTTTTTGTGTTACTGGGGAAGAACAAAAGGAGATCCTTTTTACAGGCATTGAATGAAGTTAAGCATTTTTAAATTTAATAGGACATGTGTATTTCGTAAAGGATTAGGAAAAAGCGGGTTTGTTGTTTTGAGGAGCGATTGCCCAATACATTCACTGATATAGAAAGATGATTCCATTAATTAAACAGGAGCATTTCGTAGAGAATAATGGTAGAGCTGAACGAGATAAGGTTCTGCTAAACAGGTGTTAAACAGAATACATTGCTAACAAACGAACCTTACTGACTGTTGATTGAGGCTCTACACATCGGAAAGCTTGTTCAGCGTTCTACCAGACACTANCGTTTAAACGGTTCTGAAGGAAAGGACTCCTCAACTCCTTGAGACAGTTGTATGGCAAAAGAAGCAATCCACGGGTAACTTTTTGTGTTACTGGGGAAGAACAAAAGGAGATCCTTTTTACAGGCATTGAATGAAGTTAAGCATTTTTAAATTTAATAGGACATGTGTATTTCGTAAAGGATTAGGAAAAAGCGGGTTTGTTGTTTTGAGGAGCGATTGCCCAATACATTCACTGATATAGAAAGATGATTCCATTAATTAAACAGGAGCATTTCGTAGAGAATAATGGTAGAGCTGAACGAGATAAGGTTCTGCTAAACAGGTGTTAAACAGAATACATTGCTAACAAACGAACCTTACTGACTGTTGATTGAGGCTCTACACATCGGAAAGCTTGTTCAGCGTTCTACCAGACACTATCACAGAGGAAAACTAAACAGGCGTCAATCTAATTTCGGTTAAAAAGGTATTTGGAGACCTTTTAACCATTTCGTGTGGGAACATTTGCTTGCCGTCCGTCTCATCGTAGACCTAGATGCCTGGCCGTCTATACGTAACAATAAAAAAAGTTACATTGAAAGGGGGTTATTGTTATTTCTTAGTTAAGAGTGTCATGCAAATCTAGTGTCGTGCAGAGTACTGTTCGGTGGTTTCTGTATCGTGACATGTGCCCTAAAGTACGCTCCTTACAGCACGTCTTGGGAAATAACAGGGGGAATATTTCATCGTCCGTAGACGAGGTTCATTAATGCGTATTAGTCCAGTGATGTAAAAGTCCTGTCCAAGAGGATTATTTAATTTTTCGGGGCAATAACTCAGTGGCCGGTAAAATCTTGTTTTCTGGTATTTGTGTCATGCCCCACCATTGACGACACCATTTGCCGGCTATCGAACGACTACGGAGACTGAGAGCCGGAGTGTTCTTGCTTTTCAACTCCACCGTTATCGAAGTGCAGACCCTCATATCAGACATACACGAGGGTAAACTGTAAAGAAGAGTAGAGTTTTCACCAACGTGAGAGACTGGAATATAAGGGCACAGATTTGTGATTGTTTCTGGGTAAACATACAGTACAACGCATTTAAAAGCTATTTGATAGATGGAGGTTTGTTTCGCACATCTGTTTTTTGCCCACGTCTTAATTAATTAAAATTGGTCGGAAACAGCAACTTATCATGTAGAGAGTTATTCTTTGTTTGCCTCTTCATATCCCACGTGCCGTTACCCAAACACCCGCCCTCAGAACGAAGGAATAAGATAGAATAGAATGATGTGAATTTGGTGATGTTATTGTGGCAGAAAAAACCAACTGCCTATGTTGTGTCGACCTACGTTTTGAATACCAGAACTTGTTTGTGCTGTGAACAGAAGTTTTGGTTCAGGTAAATTGATTTTAGTTCAACTAGAAGCAAAACTTTCTTCTCCTTGAGAAAGATTTACAATCACTACTTTCTCTTGCAACAAAGAAAGCAGTCGGAGTAAGATATATGATACATCAAATTAAAACTTATTGGAAGAAAAACTTGCAACTTGTTTTACTTACCTGACGTTCCCCAACGGAGGTCAGTTTCCTTGCATGCCAAAAGGCGCAGAATAGAACGGGAATTAATGTTAAACCGAACAAACGTTGGTTCTCTTCCAAAAAATACAATTCTATGCTGCGTACAAATTATCATAAGTGCGCTCTTTGACACCATCAGAGAAACCTTTTCGACTTAAGACAAAATCGGTTAGGAACTGCGTGAAAAGAGCAACCTGGTTTTCTTTGTGGTTGAAAAACATTTTGAAAATCCCGTGTCGTGCAGGGTATTGTTTCCCTTTTCATGTGACCACATGCCATCAGACCCAGTAACGAACGCATCCTCTCAAAACAGGTGCATGTAGGCAGGGCTTCTGGTGCTCTCTTCAGCCTCCTTGGTAAAACTACTGGCATGCTGCCGGTATATCCTGACTCACGCACGAGGACGTTTTATTAAGTAAAAATAATTTGTTTTATTGCGAACTATTTTTACCTGTTAGTGGTATTCAAGAGAAGAGGGTGAGCAAAACATTTTATTAGAAAAGAAACCTTGACGAAGTTTCTGGATTCTTTGTCGCGGCGTTCTACTGGTTGCTTCATATGGTTTAAAAAACGGCGTTGCGAAAACTCAACGCCCAACTGCTTTCATCATCCATTATAAATAATCCACTCGTAATTTTATCACAGTGTAGCTCCAAGTGTTTCTCTCAGGTCCTACTGTCAATTTAAAAAATTCTGCTACCTTTTTATGGTCATGTTTGTCACTTGTTTGATGAGGAGACAATCACGGACTTCGCAATTGGGTGGTAAAATAAAAAACGGTATTTTACAGAAAAATTGCCCTCAAGTAAATGACGATTTTCTTGACTTGCTTTTTCAACTAATAGCTTAGATTTGAAAAAGAAGAGTGGATATTGAATTATCAAGGAGCACGTTAAAATACTCACAGAACGTTCTACTCGTTGCCTGAAGCATATTTAATGAAATGCCTTCATTGTGAAATACATTCGTTTAGTTGGAGATTTGGAGATTTATAAAATGCTAAAAATGCTAGACAACGACGTAGAATCCAAACGTTAAAAAGTCGAATATTTGCTGTTTTGGTAAAGACGTCCTACGGATACCGGTATTTGAACAAAAGAAGGCGCATTGTAAGAAGTGAAGCTTTACTCTATTTGTTCTTTAACGAAAGAGACGTAAGGAACTGGTACATTTTTCTTGTATAATGTTTCGTGTAAACCAAGTGGCAAAATATACTCGTTCTCTCGTCTTAGCTTTCGTAAACCGAAACCTAGAGTGAAAGCGAGTTATTTCTTTGTTGGCATGTTGAAAAATTACCCGTTTATTTGTTCTTAATGATCCGACGAAGATATGATGTCACAAACATCCTTGAAACTAAGATTATGAAGGATCCTAAAAGGTTTTGATTTTCATTTCTAGAACTGTGTAAATGCTTACCTGAAAGGACGTTCTGCGTGACAAAATCGACATTGATGATAATATTTTTGTCAGTGTTCTTTCTCGCAGTTCTCTCGTTAGGGAATGCATCTTTGGAGGATTTTGATGTATTAAACAGGGTTGCCTATAATGTTAACTAACATCAGTCCCGCACGTTTCGAGTCTGATAAGAAAACCGATTTTCGACGTACTGATTAAAATGCCACTGAAATGGAGCACAATTCAGTCAGTTTCCAATCCAAAAAAGTTCCTCTTCGAGGTCCCTCCGTCTTAGCGATAATACAGGGGGTTAAAAAAGTAAAAGACCTAAAAAACATAGAAATGTTTGCCTCCATGTAGATTTTACAGGGATTCAATATTGTCAATGAAAAGTGGTCTCATCACGACTTTCAGACGCGCCGTGTGTGATTTTAATTTATATATTGATACAAGAAAGTTAGAAAGATCTTTCATTTACATTTTTCATAGATGTACAATAATCCTTATCGATCCTCGCTCTAGAATCATTCAAATTCTTCAACCAAATTTAGTACTTGAGTTTGAACTTTTGTGTTGTTTGATTTGCCTGGAAAGGATGGCTATTTGTCCAAGACGGGTATGTGCCAATAATAGTTTGTGACATCAGTTATGTATATGATACATATATAAAAATACTTTCTGTTTGCGAAATGAAAAATAGGGATATAAAAAGGGTCACAATAAAGGGTCTCTTATCTTAAACTGGGTAGAAAAATGATTTGTTTTTATCTTAAACAGAGTCACAGATTGAAGGCCTCTGCAGCACACCTCCACCTAAGGTAATTGTGAAGAATAACTTCCCTGAAGTTTCCCTTCTGGGCTGCAAAGTAACCACTGGGCCATTAGTCATGGTCAATAAATGTCACTGCATTCGTAAACTAAAAAATGTATATTACAGTACTATTACAGTTTTAGTATCCCTGGATGTCAAGCAAGTGATACAACAGCTGATACTAGTGGAACTTGTGGTGTTTACAGAGATGTGGGAGCACGTGATTGTAACCATAGTGCTGGTAAGTTTTTTTTAAGTAAATTAAAACCTAACCTCCTCTTTACAACAAAGTAGGGTAAGTCATTACGTTATTGTCAGATTGTCCACTAATCACAACCAAAAAGATTAACGATTTAAAAAAACGGTTTAAAGGCTTGTTTATAGTGGAAAGTGCACTTAGCTTATCAAGCTGGTTTACAGCTTAGACGCTTCACTCAAATACTTAGAAACAAATAATTCAAATACATCATAACAGGATTAAAAACCCCAACTGACAGGAGGCAACCAGTTGGCTATTTACATTAAGAGTGGCCAAGGATTTGAACTCGAGATGACCAAGAACAAATCCAGCAAGTGGCCAGAGTAGGACTCAAACCCGGGACTGCCAGATTGCGACACCGAGGCGCTGACCACTCAGCCAGGCTGCCTCCTTAAAAAAATTTTATTTTAGGACCAAAACTAATGTTATTTCCTTGTGACTGGAAGAAAGGTGAACACTTTTTTCCACTTACAATCTTTTGAATTCAGGTAAACACTATTATTATGTTTTGTGACTACAAGTCAGACAGTCTTGCCTACATCTTCAGTACAAATAAATATTATTGACATCTCTCATGTAATCTTATCGGCCTGGCCCCAGTTGTACACAAGGTGGATAACTCACATTTTGGTCATTTCAGCTTTGTTTGTTGGGGCCTTTCTTTGACCTCAATGATTAACCCATATTGCATTGATGTCATTAGGTTCACTATAATTCTATGAAGTTGATGTCACTGGTAAGTAATAACAATGGAATAAGTATTTCTCCTTTTTATATCAATAACTTGCATCAAAACAGTTGCTCTTAGAGCACTGAGCAGTCATCAAGAGACTATGTTGGTGCCTTGTTTTTGCTGTCCTATGACCGTTTAGCCATAGAAGGGGTACCCTGCCTCCCAGACATAATTTAACCCGGGCTAGTAACATCTGTGAAGCAGCACCGAGATCCTAGTTCTGGGCCCCCAACAGGATCAATGAATTATCGGAAGTGCATCTCAAATTTCCTTTTAAACTGATTGGCAAATAGACAATGGCTTTTTAAACAGGCCAATCATATCACACACTCAAATCTTTGTACACAGGTGGGGGCCCAAAACGTGGATTGTATCTGCCATTTCGCAGATGGACTTAACCAGAGTGTAGTTGTATCTGTGGTGCAGGGAATACCGAAGGGGCTATTACAGCATGCACAAATACAACGGGGCAGCAGAAAAATAGTTTTGACCTAAACTTTGCCTTGCATCTTTGCTGAGAAATGGGTCTTTATCTCTCTTCAATGAAAGTATTCTGCTCTGGTCATTTGACAGTACCAAAACATTATTTTCAGTAAACAGTTGACACAAATCACAAGTCGTCAGTTAGCATCTTGATGTTTCGAACAACATCACCATTAAACATCCATGGAGGGACAAAAAGGTACTGAGTTGTGAAATAGGTGTATTCATGAGTTGTTTTCCAAACAGCGTATACGACGAGTAATAAAATAAACATATATGCAAAGGACTGTAAAAGAAAAAATGCTGCATGTATACAGTACATAGTATCAGCATCTTTCTGCTCTGTTTGTTGTAAGGGTACCCTGGTAATCAAATTTAGCCCTAAAAATGGTGGGGCTGTTTCAGTGAGTAGTATAGAACGCTAGTTATTGAGTCTAATTTGGCTCCCTTAATCAGAGCCAATAGAGTTCAGTAATCCGGTAATCTTGGAGTAGTGCTGTTTTGAACCCATTGTTCTAGCTGCTTGGTTTCCTTCGAAAGGATAAATGCGATAAAATTTTAACTAGGATGCACAACTATAGTAACCTCCCCCCCTCCCTACAGCTTAATTGGACCTGGAAGTAAAATGCTTGGCACAGTGTCATAATCTATTCCCAGTATAAGTTAGGGTTGGAACTGTATACTGTATACTGTTGTACTCTTTCACCCGCGCAAATTGTAACCTGTAATCTATTTAAGGCGGGTGAGTTTAAGACCATCAATTTTACACGTACCATGAAGAAGTTTACTCTCTAGTAACAGCTTCCTTGGGCCTGGAAGTAAAATACTTGGCCCCGGTTTCGTAATTTATTCCCATTAAAAGTTAAAGGTGCAAACTAAGCTGTAATCTGAAGTTTCTTAAAGGGTGAATTTGGGACCATCAATTTGATAAGTAACAGAAGGTCTCTCTTCAGTAACAGTTTCCTTGGGCCTGGAAGAAAAATACTTGGCCTAGTTTCTTAGCTCTCTGTTGTTGTACTCTTTTACCCGTGCAAACTCAGCTGTAACCTGAAGTTTTTTAGGGTTGAATTTAAGACCGTCTGTTTGAAACGTAACAGGAGCTCACTGTTTCTTGGGCCTGGAAGTGAAATACTAGGCCCAGTTCCAAGATTTTCCCGATGATGTGCCAGGAAGGTGCCATAAATTCCGCAGTTGATGCTGTACAGGTGCCCTCTGATTTTCAGTACTCAATCGTGCAAACTGTAATGCGCTGTTTTAAGATGAATTGGCGCACTTGACGAAACAACTCTTTTCATCGGTTCAAGTAAAGTTCAAGACCATTGTTGGCTATGATTACCCCGTAAATGAATGAACCGTCAGGTAGGTGTTAGCAAACGCTATTGTTGTTTTATATGGGGACATTTGCAAAGGCCGTGGACTATGAGTTATTTGCAGGTTTGAGTGCAGTGCAAGTCGCAAAACTCATATCCTCCGCGATAAAGGATTTCATTTCTCGCGGTCATTTTGCCCTAAACTTCGCTTTTTGATTCTTTCGAAATGTTTTCGGGTTGATCTTTTTGTCTTGCTTTGCTGTATGCCTTGGCCTCTTTGGATGATACTTTCTTTTATAAGCATGATAATCTCTGCTGGCAAAGTCCGCCTTATTTTGCATTCTTGGGGTCTTGACTAACGTGGATTTTCAGACATTGCTGTTACCTCTGGTTCTTGCTGCGAGCTATTTCTCCCCGCCGCGGATTAGGGACAGGTTTCTGCCAGAATGCGGTATTTCACGTGAAATATGGTACCTGTAAAGGACAAGAGAAGATGTCACTGAATTCATTCTTGTTTATTGTTTTTTCTAATTTATGTTATGAGTCCTTAATGATATAAAACTTGACGATGTTGTGAAGTGTGATTCCAAATAGAATGTGGGATATGCGAAGAAAAACTAGTGTAAAAGAGTGGTTTTGTCCGGATGTCGTCAAATTCACCCGGACCGTCATTTAGCTTCTAGTCAATTACAGCAATTTATTAAGTACAACTTGGAGACTTTGTAAAATTGTGCTGTTTAATCTGTACTTATTTTTATAGCTAATGTTTCCCTTGAGCGTGACCGCACTCCCACGACTGCCAGATGTCAAGACAGACATCATAGTACCATCGTCCAAGGGAATGCGGAGCTTATAAGTTCACTTTTAGCGCATAGTCAAAACAACACACGCGAAACCTGTAAATGCTTGTGTGCCGGCTTGAGATTGAGACGCCTCATTGTCTTATACACAATATGGTAGATCGCCTTTTGTCTTTTTTGAAGGACAAAAACCCATAGCCTTTATAAAACGGCCGTGTTTGAAATGAATCTAACCATATACTTTTTGTCATGTAAATAAACGATCAATCTGTATCAACCTAACGGACTAAAATGAAGTAAAGACAAAAACAGTAGAACGCCGTTTCAAGCATTTTCTTAGAGTATCCTTGTTTTGTGTCCTTGTTTGTTTTAAACAATGAAGTTTTAGGCTCTATTATCAGTTAGCAACGGCTACCAGTTTCGGGTGTTTTTTTTTTTGTACCCTAAGAGCGCTCTTATTTGACAATTGTCCCCTAAACGGCTGTTTAGGTAGGCAAAAGTTGCATAGATTCTTTGTTAAAATTCATTTTAAGGCTGTTTTTATCAAACAATTCAGTTATGTCTGTTGCTCATACTTTGGAAATCTTGAAAAGTGAAATAATTTTCTGTCCTTGGGGCTAATTCCATTCATTTCTACTGGGATACTATAACGTGTACAAAGCCTAGAAATTTTAATTAACATCCACAAGTTTGTTTATGAAATCACGGTCTGCAAATAACCAGATTAAAAAATGCCACGCTGCATGTTACCGCTAGACAATAGTCTACGGATTAAGTAAAAACAACCGTTCAAATGATATTCCGTGAAAAACGCTGGGTAAAATCGTCAAATGAATTCCATGCCAAAATTAAGTATGGTGCGCTTTGTGTTGTTATATTTAAGTTCTTTTAGCGAAATCAAGAACCAATTGAATTATAATGACTTAAGCCGAGCCGTTTGACTTTAAAAGGAATGAAAGATGTAGATAATAGAGTTTCATTTAAGATGGACTACTTTGCAAAAAATAGATACTGCGTGACTGTCTACAAGATTACCATTTCCATTTCAAAAGTATGGGTAGTGATAACTGGTACTATTAAAGAGATTATTTCTCAAAACATGAACAAATTTTATTGGAAAAACTCAAACAAACTATATAATATATATATATTAAAAATCCTTGGGTTGACAGATACGCTAGATCGGTTCCGATTGGGATCTTTATTAAGCCTCTAATAAGAGTTTGTGTTTGTTTCAATCTGAGGAGACACTGAATCGTGACATCTCAGACAATAGCTCTATGACTGGCCGTCAATATATTCCTTTTAATTTAAAACATGCCTTTTCTGTCGTAATTGTTCTATACGTGACCGCATTGGATGCAATCGATATTGGTGTGGTCTCAAAGAAATTTTGTAGGATAAAGATGACTTGCAAAAGAAGAGAAATGAGGTTATTTCGCCCGGCCGTTTGCTTAAAGAAGCTCAGTGTGTTTAGGAAATTTATCAAATTGAAACAGTGGAAAAACTGCCACAAAAGTGAGTATAAAACATAAAAAAAACTGCTCAAAAAGTTAAAAGGAGGTATACAAATAACACAGCAAATACAAATTTGGGCACAGCCGGAGACCGAACTTGAAGAAGATTGAAACCGGATTGCAGTAGTGTTTTTGAAAACTTCAAATACTGTCTAGCAGCTTTTCAATAAGTTCATTTTGTTGTTTGCAACGTTTGATATAATGCCTGGGAGGTATATTTGTTGGACAAGAAGCTTTGATTTTGTCGATTACAGGTAATTTCTTCGCTAACGTTAGCGCATAGCGCATCATCATCGTGAGTCATCATCATGTCGAGTCATCATCATGTCTCATCGCGCCAGTTGGCGCATAAGGCCTCCATGCTGTTGCCTGACCAACACTTTCTGTCTTGTGCAACCGCTTTGACTACCGCCCAGCTCTTCCACACCGCTTTGTTTCGCTCTTTGTCGACTGTCCTCCTCCAAGTACTTTTTGGTCTTCCTCTTGCCCTCCAACCTTCCGGAGTCCATCCTGATGCTGTAAAGCGGTCGTTCACACCCCAGCCAGTTTTCCATAGCGCATAAAGAACCGTAATTGGCACCGTTAACAAAACGAGCTAGACAACCGTGACACAGCCCCTTTATAGAATTTTTCTAGAATAATGATGACTTGCAAAAGAAGAGAAGTGAGGGTATTTCACCAGGTTTACTGAAAACTAATAAACCACGCTTGCATTTCCACGGATTGTAGTGCTGATACCTGCTTGAGAAATGAAGCGTATTTTCAGTGATGTGACGGATTTCAAAGACTTTGGGCTATATCAGACCTAAAGATAAATTGTTAACACTCAGTGGAGAGAAAGTAAAATAAAAACTGTTATTCTTTCCTCCCAAGTAACTAAACTAAAGTTTGGGACTTGACTGCTTTATAAATGGTAGGGGTTAGGAATCGTGTTTAGTTACTACGATGCAACTCAAAACTGAACTAAGAAACCAGTGGTTGAATCCTTTGAGGAGTGAAAACTACAGTTTAAAAAAGGCTATTTCATAATTTTCCCAAGAAAACTGACTGAGACCCTTAACATTTACCCACGAAATGAATATATAGGGATTTAAACGGTTCTAAAGGAAAGGACTCCCTCAACTCCTTGAGACAGTTGTGGCAAAAGAAGCAATCCACGGTAATTTTTTGTCTCACTGGGGAAGAACAAAAGGAGATCCTTTTTACAGACATTGAATAAAGTTAAGCATTTTTAAATGAACAGGACTTGTATACTTCGTAAAGGATTAGGAAAAAGCGGGTTTGTTGTTTTGAGGAGAGATTGCCCAATACATTCACTGATATAGAAAGATGATTCCATTAATTAAACAGAAACATTTCGTAGAGCGTAAAAGTAGAGCTGAACGAGATAAGGTTCTGCTAAACAGGTGTTAAACAGAATACATTGCTAACAAACGAACCTTACTGACTGTTGATTGAGGCTCTACACATCGGAAAGCTTGTTCAGCGTTCTACCAGACACTATTGGCTATGATTACCCCGTAAATGAATGAACCGTCAGGTAGGTGTTAGCAAACGCTATTGTTGTTTTATATGGGGACATTTGCAAAGGCCGTGGACTATGAGTTATTTGCAGGTTTGAGTGCAGTGCAAGTCGCAAAACTCATATCCTCCGCGATAAAGGATTTCATTTCTCGCGGTCATTTTGCCCTAAACTTCGCTTTTTGATTCTTTCGAAATGTTTTCGGGTTGATCTTTTTGTCTTGCTTTGCTGTATGCCTTGGCCTCTTTGGATGATACTTTCTTTTATAAGCATGATAATCTCTGCTGGCAAAGTCCGCCTTATTTTGCATTCTTGGGGTCTTGACTAACGTGGATTTTCAGACATTGCTGTTACCTCTGGTTCTTGCTGCGAGCTATTTCTCCCCGCCGCGGATTAGGGACAGGTTTCTGCCAGAATGCGGTATTTCACGTGAAATATGGTACCTGTAAAGGACAAGAGAAGATGTCACTGAATTCATTCTTGTTTATTGTTTTTTCTAATTTATGTTATGAGTCCTTAATGATATAAAACTTGACGATGTTGTGAAGTGTGATTCCAAATAGAATGTGGGATATGCGAAGAAAAACTAGTGTAAAAGAGTGGTTTTGTCCGGATGTCGTCAAATTCACCCGGACCGTCATTTAGCTTCTAGTCAATTACAGCAATTTATTAAGTACAACTTGGAGACTTTGTAAAATTGTGCTGTTTAATCTGTACTTATTTTTATAGCTAATGTTTCCCTTGAGCGTGACCGCACTCCCACGACTGCCAGATGTCAAGACAGACATCATAGTACCATCGTCCAAGGGAATGCGGAGCTTATAAGTTCACTTTTAGCGCATAGTCAAAACAACACACGCGAAACCTGTAAATGCTTGTGTGCCGGCTTGAGATTGAGACGCCTCATTGTCTTATACACAATATGGTAGATCGCCTTTTGTCTTTTTTGAAGGACAAAAACCCATAGCCTTTATAAAACGGCCGTGTTTGAAATGAATCTAACCATATACTTTTTGTCATGTAAATAAACGATCAATCTGTATCAACCTAACGGACTAAAATGAAGTAAAGACAAAAACAGTAGAACGCCGTTTCAAGCATTTTCTTAGAGTATCCTTGTTTTGTGTCCTTGTTTGTTTTAAACAATGAAGTTTTAGGCTCTATTATCAGTTAGCAACGGCTACCAGTTTCGGGTGTTTTTTTTTTTTGTACCCTAAGAGCGCTCTTATTTGACAATTGTCCCCTAAACGGCTGTTTAGGTAGGCAAAAGTTGCATAGATTCTTTGTTAAAATTCATTTTAAGGCTGTTTTTATCAAACAATTCAGTTATGTCTGTTGCTCATACTTTGGAAATCTTGAAAAGTGAAATAATTTTCTGTCCTTGGGGCTAATTCCATTCATTTCTACTGGGATAC